ACACACTGCCATCTGCAGGCCACTTGAGAGCCCTAAGGGAGGCTGCATTGCAAGGGCTCTGGGACGGAGAGGGCGCAAGGAGGGGGAGAAGGAGGAAGGGGCTGTGGGAATGTGGATAGCAGGAGAGGATATATTGTTTAAATATTATCCTTCCTCACTCACACTAGTGAGCTAGTAGCAGAGCACATTCCCTTGCTGGAAGCTGGTTGATGGATTAGTCACAACAATCCAGTCTGGCTTGTCCAGATTGGATTGTTCCTGGTAAATTTCCCCTTTAGTTCCTTCTTAAAAGCAATAATGACACAACAGTCTTCTATTAAATGTAATGATAAGGTTTACTTACATTCAGTTCACAGTATGATTCCGAAGGCAGGCTTTAGCTAGTAGTTACAGTTGCAGAGAAAAGTGTGGCTTCATTCTCTGCGAGGGATGAGCCCATGTGCTGCTGTCTAAGAGCCAGCAGACAGCAAAAGGCATCAAGAGAGTCAAGAAGAGTGAGAGGAAGGTGGCTGCGTGATTAGCCCCTTTATAGGGTCTCCCAGGGTCATGCCCATCGACCTGGTCACAAGCAGGAGGAGGATGCTCCAGACCAGGCGTGACAGGAAGTCCTCCTGACTGGAGCAACATTCCCCTGTGTGTCCACTCTGGGCAAACAGGAAATGCTGTATTTGAGTGCTGCAGTGATGCTATATCCCACAGGAGCCAGCCTGCTGTGTTTGGGCTAAGGGGGAGCAGGGAGAGAACAGCAACAGACGGTGCCTCAATATCACTGGCATGGCTACCCTTTCGGAGAATGATTGGGAAACCTGGCCCAAATGACTGCATAACTGGCCATTCACACATTCACGGGGGAAATTAGAACAGGGTCATGGTGTGAGCCACATATGATGGTGGGCAGAGACTCCCTAGAACACTTGTGCATGCAAAGACCCTCTTTGGGCTCATATACTTTCTTTCTTTTTTATGTATTTTAATTAAAGATTTTCTTGGTTTACAAAAGTATGTGCAATCTCTCTCTCTCTCTCTCTCTCTCTCTCTCTCTCTCTCCAAGTAACATTTTTTACAGATCAGTTTCATTTCTGAACGCCACCTGACAATGCTTCAGAGGGTGCCTTGCAAACAATACAAGGCACAGGATAATTAAGCCCTTTTGTTTCAGATAAACAGATATAGAAAGTGACCTTCCAACTCTACAATTCTGTGATTCTATGAATAAAGGCGTTGTAATATTCACTCATCCGGGATTCACCACCCTTTCCCCATAAGGATAAGTTGGCTCAGAATAACACTTAAAGCCCAGATTTTCAGTTGTTTGAGTATCTCTCAACAAGGTGCCCCTTTTGGCTCAGGGATCAGCGCTATGCTTCACTGGGTCATGGTGAATTGGGAGTCACAGAGCATCACTTCTGGCAACTGCTTGACCAGGGCAAGTCTTGCCTGTATGTTCCCCTGTTTGTGTTCTGCTTCCTTGAATAAAGAATCAGCTTTACTGCTCATCTCCGAGTCTCTGTGCTCACCTGTAGCTGAAGCAGCTCTGAAATAGGCTGGCTGAAAGTACGCAAGCTAAAGCCAAGCAACTTGGAGAATTTAAAAGCTCTTTTTGCGCCAGGTCCTCTTGGGGTCAGCCGGCACATCATGAGCTTTTGAGCTCTCTGCCTTGCTGGGGAGGCAAGGCCTGCTCAGAGCCCGGACACTGGGATGCTCACGCGAGATCTCACAGGGCCACCTGAGTAAAAGGTAAAGGACCCCTGGATGGTTATGTCCAGTCACCAAGAGGTCAGTTGCATGGGCTTCTCTCGCATCAACTCAAAGCCCTCAGTCATCTGGTCAAGCCAGGCAACCACTTTGCACACCTCTGTAGCAACTGCACATTTGGAATCTGTGGAAGAAAGAGCTGTACAATTGTGTTTATAACTACCCCAAGAAATGGGACCATGGGAATCAGGAAGGAGGCTGTGGCACACAGGGAGGGAGTTAACCCTTTCCTTACCTCCCATTAGCTCCTCTGCTGGGCCTGACCACTGCCCTCCAAAGCACAGCCAATTCCTGGAAGCTGATATTTGTATCCATGAGTCAAGCTGCCTTTCTGGGAGACTGAAGTGCACTGTCATTTGTTATGGATCCTCTCACTGAGGAAAAAGCAATAGAATCAAAGAGTTGGAAGGGACCCCGAGGGCCATCTAGTCCAACCCCCTACAATGCAGGAATTGTCTTGCCCAGCCTGGGTCTTGAACCCACAACCCTGAGATGAAGTCCCTCATCCTCTACCCACTTCCTGGAGTCTCTTCCCTCTCAGAGATGGGGATTCACGAAAGAATATTTCAGTTAATAGTCTTTGAATCACACTGCCCAAAATACTGAATGCTCCCCATGCATGGTGAATAGGCTGGGCGTGATTTCTGGAAAGGTTTGCACCTCTAGCGGTGGAAATCAGGTAGCGGACTTGCAGCATGATTTTGCATGAGTGATGGAGGGGGGGTGCCTGAGAGAGGATCTCCCTCCCCCTTCCTTGCCCAGCTGCAACACAACAGCCCTGCAGTGCTGGCCGTGGGTCTTGTTCTGCGGGGGTTGCTGCTTTCAGCTCAGACGCAGAGGGACCTGGGGAGCACCAAAGCAATTACTTTAAAAAATAAATAGAGACCAACTAAGTTAGTTATTGGTCATACCATAACTAACTTAGTTGGTCTCTAAGGTGCTTCTGGAGTGGGGGGGATTATTTATTTTTTTGTTTTGTTTTGTTTCGACTACAGCAGACCAACACAGCTACCACCTGTAACTTAAAAAATAAATGAATCTCCTAGCCAGTGAACCCTGCACTTTTGGGTCCAACGGGCACCCAAACTGCTGGGAAGAACAGGGCCAGCTTCCAGCTTGGCTTTCAGAGCACCAGTGAATCTAGGAATGGCCTTCAACTGGGTGGCTGTTGAAGGTTCAGCAGCGTTAGTTAGCAGAAGTGGCTCACTAAAGCAGTGGATTTGGCGGACTTCCTTCCCGCCTGCTCTTATACCAGGAATGAGGACGCAAAAGTGCCTTAAAATTCAAGTCATAGGCATGTGCGGAGATTCTTGGCTCTGAAGTGGGGAAGACCCCAATAATCCCCTCCTCTGCGCTGGCTGAGAAATCAGTGGCTCTGAGGTGGGGCGGGGGGGGGGTTGGGTAGAGAGTGTCTAAGGGCGTGCACACAATCCCTACTCAGCCAAGAAGTTCACCGGGTGACTTGGGCTCCGTCACTGCCTCCCCTCCGTCAGGCTGGGACCCTCATGCATCCCCTGCTTTGGAGACGTGAGGGAGCGCAAGGCTCTCCTCCTCCCTTCCGCCCCATTCACAAGCCAGATTGGGGGGGGCGTTAAGCCTTTCTCTCGCTCCTCTCTCCTCCTACCACGATCTCGGGCTGGCAGAGGAAGAATTTTGAGGGGTGGCAGGGTACCTGCAAAACTGCCCCCCTCCACAAGCCAGATGGGGGTGGGTGATGGGAAGGCAACGCCCCAACTCCTTGGGCTAAGACGTCCCAGGCCCATCTCCACTCCCCGGAGTGGGAGGTTTCGATTCAAGGTGGGCTGTGGGGGTGTTAGGATCCCAGATGTTGTTGTTGAGTTGTTTAGTCGTGTCCGATTCTTCGTGACCCCCTGGACCAGAGCACGCCAGGCCCTCCTGTCTTCCACTGCCTCCCGCAGTTTGGTCAAACTCATGCTGGTAGCTTCGAGAACACTGTCCAGCCATCTCGTCCTCTGTTGTCCCCTTCTCCTTGTGCCCTCCATCTTTCCCAACATCAGGGTCTTTTCCAGGGAGGCTTCTCTTCTCATGAGGTGGCCAAAGTCTTGGAGCCTCAGCTTCAGGATCTGTCCTTCCAGCGAGCACTCATGGCTGATTTCCTTCAGAATGGAGAGGTTGGATCTTCTTGCAGTCCATGGGACTCTCAAGAGTCTCCCCCAGCACCAGAATTCAAAAGCATCCGTTCTTCGGTGATCAGCCTTCTTTATGGTCCAGCTCTCACTTGCATACATCACTACTGGGAAAACCAGAGCTTGAACTATACGGATCTTTGTTGGCAAGGTGATGTCTCTGCTTTTTAAGATGCTGTCTAGGTTTGATGTAGGTGGTGCTATTGAGCAGCATCAAAATATTGGAAGTCGAAACAAAACAAACAAATAAATAAAAATTATAAATATATTAAATACCATACCAATAACTAACTTAGTTGGTCTCTAAAGTGCTACTGGAAATAATTATTATTATTTTGTTTCGACTGCGGCAGACCAACACGGCTACCCACCTGTACGTAAAATATTGGAGGTTTGTCACACCGAAATATGTACTGGATTTCAAAACAGATGCAGTTCCATAAGGGATTCCTACTTCCAAGGTAAGACTGTATTGTGAAGGAGAGGATTGCGGCCCCTCCCCCGCCCAGCAGGGGGGGCTTTGGCTCTGGAGGACTCTCGCTCCCCTTCCGATTTCCTCTCCTCTCTAGGAACGCAGCTCAGTGCCTTTTAACTCTTAGCAAGCCGAGCAAACCCAGCCCTCTCCCTGAAACACCACAGGCTTCATAAACACCTGCTATGCTAGGCTTCCTCAAAGTTCTGAGACTACAATTCCCATCATCCCTGACCACTGGTCCTGCTAGCTAGGGATCATGGGAGTTGTAGGCCAAAAAACACCTGGAGGGCCAAGCTTGAGGAAGTCTGTACTAGGCCCTGCAGAGGCAGTCTACCCATTAAGTCTAGGCTTAATGGGGACCTCCATTCCTGAGGAGATTTCCTCCCAGTCCTCTACTTGCCCTTGTCCAAGATGGCGGTGGTGCCTCCTCCGCCCGCTTCTATCCTCGGTGCCTCTCCTAAGATGGCGCCTTTGATACCTGCCCTATCGCTCCCTTTCTCCCTTTCCCAGCATGACGGAGCCCTCCCTTCCGCCCTGTTCCAAAATGGCGCCTTTGGTGTTTTGGCGCGCACCGCCGCATCCCCCACCGCCTCGAGGACCGGAAATAACGCAACGGAAGGGCGGGGCGTGCAAAAGTCCTTCCTGCCAATCACTTCCTGAGGGGGTCTCCGTCTTTCTCTCTCTCGACGGCGCCTCCGGGAACCTGGTTAGTCTCTTCTGCCATAGGGCAAAGTGGGGAGAATGAAGAGTCCCAGGGGGCGGGGGCGGGGGGGACCCACCCCTCTGCGTTCTGGGGGCCACCCTGGGTCCCCACCCTGCCCTCTGCTCCTTTCCGTGGCTCCTCGGAGCTGTCAGCGGACTGCAGCAGCTGCAATCGCAGGAAAGGCTTTGGCTGGGGGGCTAAATTATTATTATTATTATTATTATTATTATTAATTTATTATTTATACCCCGCCCATCTGGCTGAGTCTCCCCAGCCACTCTGGGCGGCTTCCAACAAAACACTAAAATATAATAACCTATTAAACATTAAAAGCTTCCCTAAACAGGGCTGCCTTCAGAAGTCTTTTAAAGAGAAGATAGCTGCTTATTTCCTTCACATCTGGTGGGAGGGCGTTCCACAGGGCAGGCGCCACCACCGAGAAGGCCCTCTGCCTGGTTCCTTGTAACTTGGCTTCTCGCAGTGAGGGAACCACCAGAAGGCCCTCGGCGCTGGACCTCAGTGTCCGGGCTGAACGATGGGGGAGCTGATGGGTCTCAAGTCTACAGTGATGCAAAGATGGGGTTCAGCATGCTGAGTGGACAAGACCGAGAGGGGGTCCAAAGGTCAAGTGGGGAGCAAATGGGACTCCTCGACCCAGAAAGGGAGCCCAGCTAGGAGAAGGAAAACTCTGATCCTGAACCTCCTTCAGGAGAAGAAAAGGCTGAGGAGTAAACCTTCCACAAACCCAGAGTGGATTCCCTAAGGCGGTTGGATGGCGCTTTGAACGCCTCCTCCCAGCACCTTCCGCAGTCACTTTGGTGCTGCTCACAAAGCAAATTGACTTCACCCCCAGAGGTGCACTCCATTGTTAATTCTTCAATTTGACTTTTAAATTTAGATCAACCAGGTGAAGCAAAATGCCGATAGGGTGTTTGTGCTTACCTACGCCAAAATCTCAAGGGCTTTATTTTCCCCACACTTGATGCTTTATGTTATTGCTGCTGCTGCTGTTGTTGTTATTATTAATATTATTAGAATTATACAATCGTAGAATTGTAGAGTTGGAAGGGATGCCAAGGGCTGTCTAATCTAAGGTTACCAGACATCCCCGTTTCCCAGGGACAGTCCCCAGATTTACAAATCAGTCCTCTGACAAAATCCATCTATTTAGTAGGAAGTTGAAGTGTCCCTGGATTCACTGACAAAAATCTGGTAACCTTAGTCTAGTCCAACCTTTTCGGTGCAGAATCCAACTACTACTACACTGATTACCCAAGGCAGATTAAAATTCAGTATTAATAAGAATTAAACCAAGACTCATCCACGCCTGCCCAAGGAACATTTTTCTTCTCCTGACAGTGTGTCAATCTTACAGCAATGTATTTGTTTTGTAGTATTTTCTAGCACCTCTAATTTGGACAGATAAGACTTGGCAGAAGACTACAGGTTACTTCCAGTCTCTTGGGGGCTTCCTGAGAGCCCAGATGGATGAGCAAGACTCAGCTGCCCCTGAAGCAGGAAGAGGCCATGTCATCAAAACCGAGAGCAGTGGGGGATTCTGGGAAAGCTCTGTGAAGAAGATCCTGGGAGAGGAGGACATTCTCCGCTCAGATGTGCAGAGCCAGCAGCTCAGGCAGTTCTGCTACCAGGAGGCCGAAGGACCCCGAGAGGTTTGCAGCCGACTCTACTGCCTTTTCCGTCAGTGGTTGAAGCCAGAACAGCGTACGAAAGCCGAGATGCTGGACCTGGTGATCTTGGAGCAGTTCCTGGCTGTCCTTCCGCCAGAGATGGAGAGCTGGGTGAGGGAATGTGGAGCAGAGACCAGTTCCCAGGCGGTGGCCCTGGCCGAAGGATTCCTCCTGAGTCAGGCAGAGGAGAGGAAGCAGGCAGAGCAGCAGGTGAGAGAGACTTTCCTCTAGATACTCCCAGGGTCTTCCATCATGAGGGAGAGGACCCCCAAATTCTCAGCTAATGGCTCTTCTTTTTTGGAAAGTGTTCAAGGAATGAGATCTGATACCCCTAAATTGTTTGCTTCTGCCATTCCTTTTCTAACCCTTCTCCTCATTCTCTGTTTGGAATCCTTGTTGAGGTTCCTGCTTTGCAGGGAGTTGGACAAGATGGCCCTTGGAATCCCTTCCAACTCTAACATTCTATGATTCTTTTATTTCAGGGAAAGGATCTGTTTGCAGAAATGGGCCGGTATTCCTCTGAGACAGAGAGAACTCCGTTGGACACCAGAGAGAGGCCACAGGGTATGGAGGATTGAGTTGTTTTTCTGTTTGGTCACATTCCGTGAATCCTGAAACTCATCCAGGGGTTCCTTGAATCTTCTTGGGGGAAAGCCCCAAGGAAGGGAAGACGCTAAAATACGAAATGGGTACAAACGTCCAAATGCACTCTGCGGGTGAGTTTCTAAGGCCCATCTGTCGTTAGAGCTTCACTGCTTCACCTCTGAGAGAAGCATGCACACCTGGCTTCACACTTACCTTTGTCTCTTGCAGGTGACGGAAGGATGTTGGCAAGACCTCCTCATTCATCTTTTCATGGGGGTGGAGGGAAAGCAGCCGCTGTGGAACCAGATCAGGTAGCAGGAATGAGCATATTGTGGGAAGAGGCTGATGGGTGGGATAGTCAGGGTGCCTCTGGGCCCAAGCAAATCTCACTCTTCCTCCACTTTGTTTCTGGCCAAGCTGCCCTGAACAAAGACCAAATAGGCCTTTCTAGAAGGTCACGGTGCTGAAAATAAGGAACAGCCGCCTTGCCTCAACTAGCCTTACTGTTGCTTGCATTATTTCTCGGTCACCGTTTTCTTTCTTTATTGTTGAATACTACTATAATAGGCTTCTAAGCCGTTGAGAAACCATAAAAACAGTAGCCAGGACTCACCTTCAGGGCTTTCCTAGGTCTCCTTTTGCTTCCCATTTGCCCCCTGAAGAACAGCACACAGAGAGAGTACAGAGGGGATCCTCCCCCTCCCCCCCCCGGCAAATTGGAACACTTGTGCCAAGAGAATGATTTGAGGAACACCATGTTCAGTTCCACCCATTTACAACAAAATTAATACGCACCATTGAAAGACACAATAGAAGAATTCATTTAAAATATAAAAATAATAATCCATAACTAAAATGTGCAGCAAATCAATTCCTTTAAAACAACACAGCCATTAACAGGCAGAAAACAGCAGATCAATGTCTAGTCGATCATCTTTACGCTATATGAGGACATTTCCCTTTTTCTTTTAGGGTTCAGTGCGCTTTGAAGATATCACTGTTCCTTTCACAGATGAGGAGTGGGTGTTGCTGGATCCTGAACAGAAAGCTCTGCATAAGGAAGTCATGGAGCAGAATCGTGAGATGATGGACTTGTCGGGATTTCGGTCCCTACGAGCTGCACGAGCTGCCAGGAAGCAGCAAAAGCTAAAAGGTGGTTGTTTACATCAGGTGTAGCTGACCGGGGGAAAGGAAGTCTGAGCCAGTTCTCAGACTGTCCTCAGTGTAACCGGGGTGGAGTTACACTTCTTTCTTCCGCTCCTGGACTGGAGCAGTGTTGAGTCGGAGAACTCTAAGCTGGACTGCTCAGGACGTGCAGTCGTGTGTATTTTCTATGCAGTTTTAATAAAGTAGATGAAGTCTATGAACTGCCTTTTCTTCTGATGTTTGCTCAGGAGAAATTGGTGTGCTTTTCTCATAAGAGACAAGTCGCCTAATTATCGGTCTCTCTGGACTAAAGGAGGATTCCTGGATGGTAGCCAGAGAGTGACCACCGGACTAATCGCCCCGGAGTGCTTTGGGATGCTGGCAATGCTCCCGGGCGGGCGATCTTCCAACAGGACTTTCTCGGTAAAGCTCCCCGTTGAATCATAATACAGTCATACCTCGTGTTGCGTACGCTCCGTGTTGCGTACGTTTGGGATAGCACGCTCACTGCCTGGAAGTGTTTCCGGAACACGCGTGACCCGGATGCGCGGAACACTTCTGCACACTTTGCGCATGTACAGAAGCACCCAAATCACGCTACTTCTGGGTTTTTTGTTTTTGTTTTCGTGCGTTCGCGTTACGTAGCATGATCCGGAACGGATCGCATACGTAACACATGGTTCCACTGTATGTTCTGAAATGTAATATGTATATCTCTATGTGACAAACCTCTAATATTTTTATGGAGCTCAACAGTACCACCTACAATATTTGTGACTCTTAACACCCGTACAGAACATTTTGAATAGGGAGCTATCTACTGTTTCATCTGTGACCATTCTTTCTCCAGGTAAAAGAAAAATCCTTCCTAAGGTGCCACTGGAAGGAGTTTTTTATTTTGTTTCACCTACGGCAGACCAACACAGCTACCTACCTGTAACTATTCTTCCTCCAGGTATTATTACTACTATTGTTATTATTCTTTTTATTTCAGATTAAAAAAACCTCAAAGCAGTTTACAAACTATGTTAAAAGTCAAATAAAAGAATCCAGAATAAAACAGTACATCAGAAAGTCAGCCTAGTCTGAACTGCCAAGGCCTTTCCAAACGTAGGCTTTAGACTTGTTAGTTTCTCCAGTAGTTTCTCCTTGGCTCTTTTGATGTTGCATCTGTCCATTTTTTGTGGACCAATGAGGCTACTGACCTTGGAGATGAAGCGGATTCAATGATAGGACCAAGTAAAATCTTATCTGAGAAAAGAGCCAGGTTTTCTAATTTCAGGATCTCATAAATATCATCCTTGATGCCAGTCAACAAAGCTAATGAGCCCTTTAGTAAGACCTCACAGATAACTCCCTTCAGTTCTTCCCTTATGAAAAGCACTCGTTGTTAGCATTTCACCCCTCCCTTCTGGGAGAATCGTATGATCTGGTGGTCAGGGAGAAGGGGGAGGGAACTGTGTCTTTAATCTTCTTTTTCCTGACTCTGAGCCTCCTGTTTAGGGAGAGTGATTTCATCTCTGCTGTAGATAAGATGTGTGAGTAAGAAGCTATACCACACAGTCTGTATATTCTGTAAATAATTCTGTAGCTTGTAGTAATCAAGAAGAACTGCTTCAAAACTTTTGCAGCCCCATCTACGTTTATTGAACCTCTGGCGGTGGGGCTCATAACGCACAGTTGTGAGTCCAGGTTTCCGGATTATGCTGAAGGTGTTCCAGTCTTCCTGCCTAGCCCAGTTGGGGTGCATATCGGGTTCCAGATGTGGACAGATCCTGGCATCAATCCACACTCATTAGCATTGTTCAACCATTGAGGGCTAAATTTCCTCCTGAGGCCCTGATCTGTTTTTCTCTTTGTTGCAGGTGGTGATCAATTAGAAATGAAAAACAAGGGAGAAACCGGGGAGAAACTATATCGGTGTTTGGAATGTGGAAGGAGATTCAGTCAGGAATCCCAACTCATGTCCCATCAAAGAATCCACACTGGGCGCAAACCCTATCAGTGCTTGGAATGCGGAAATACCTATAGTCACAGAAGCACTCTCATTGCCCATCAAAGAATTCATACAGGGCAGAAACCTTATCGGTGCTGGGACTGTGGAAAGGGTTTCAATCAGAGGGCCAGTCTCGTGGCACATCGAAGACTTCATACTGGGGAGAAACCCTATCACTGCCAGGACTGTGGGAAGTGTTTCAGTCAGAGGAACAGTCTCGTGGTACATCGAAGAACTCATACTGGGGAGAAATCCTATCAGTGCTTGGAATGTGGAAAGTGCTTCAGTCACAGCTTCACTCTCACTTGCCACCAAAAAACTCATACTGGGGAGAAATCCTATCAGTGCTTGGAATGTGGAAGGAGCTTCAGTCAGAAGTCCGGTCTCACTTCCCATCAAAGAACCCATACTGGGGAGAAACCCTATCAGTGCTTGGAATGTGGGATGAGGTTCAATCGGAAGGGCAGTCTCACTGCCCATCAAAGAATTCATACTGGGGAGAAACCATATCAGTGCTTGGAATGTGGAAAGAGCTTCAGTCAGAACTCCACTCTCATTACCCATCAAAGAAGTCATTGTGGGAAAAACTAACAATGATTGGAATATGTACTGAGCTTCAGTCAGAGCTCCTCTCTCACTTCCCATGAAATAATTTACATGGGGGGAAACCTTATCAGTGCTTCAAATACAGAAAGAATTCCGCAATCTCGCTGCCCACCAGTGAACTCACAATCAGGAGAAGCCATAACCATGGCTGTGTACAGAACTAAATTTTAGGGGACTTTACTTAATAGGAAGATGAGGATTGCAACTGTGTTTTTGACCTTTGGGGACCCAGCACAGAAGTCGACCGTGTCTTTAAGGACCATGGAGTATGGGTATGCCAATAATAAGGGCAATAAAAGCAATTTATAACAATCAGACGGCAAATTTGATTATAAATAATGAGTTGACTGAATATTTTCCAATCCAAAAGGGGACTAGGCAGGGATGCCCTCTCTCCTCTTCTTTATACTTACCTTGGAGGTTCTGAATGAGGTAATGAGGGAGGGATAGAATAAAATTAGGAAGAAACTCATATCAACTTAGAGCCTTTGCTGATGACATGCTGATAATGATAGAGGAACCAGTAGATAGTATACAAGAATTAATGGCAAGGATAGAAGATTTTGGGAGAGTGGCGGGGCTCAAAGTAAACAAAGAAAAAACTAAGGTCATGGTTAAAAATTTGGGTAAACAGAGGAAAAAATTAATACAAGAGAGGAATGGTCTTCAAATTGTAAAAAAAGCAAAATATCTTGGAATTCAAATAACATTGAAAAATATTGAATTATTTGAAGAGTATTACAATAAAATTTGGAAAGGAATCAAAAAGCAATTGGACATTTGGCAAAGATTAAAATTGTCACTTTGGGGAAGGATTTCTACGATAAAAATGATTGTATTACTGAAATTGTTATTTTTATTTCAAATGCTCCCAATAACCAGTAATTACCAGATATTTGAAGGATGGAGGAAGGATATTACAGTTTGTTTGGCAAGGAAAGAAGCCAAGGATAAAGTATAAAATATTAACAGATTCCAAAGAAGGGGGGGGGGGGAGTTTGAATTACCTAATTTGAAACTTTATTTAATTTTGCGGCCAGTTTCGGGTGGGTTAAAGATTGGATTTTGCTGAGGAATGTGGAGATCTTAGATATTGAGGGGTGGAACAACCGATTTGGTTGGCACTTATATTTGGCATATGGTAAAGTGTTAAATAATAAAGATTTCTTAAATTGTGTAATAAGAAGGCCCATATATAAAGTTTGGGAAAGTCATCGTTGGTTACTTGAACCGAAAACACCCTGGTGGGTTTCACCACCAGAGGTGATAGGAATTAAAAAATTGAACATGGGAAAGAACTGGCCAACCTACCAAGTAACAAAAGAACAAGGTATTTTAACATTAAGAGCATATGAAGAAATTAAAGAGGATTGCAGTAGTTGGCTCCATTATCATCAAATAGCAAATTTGTTTAAAGAGGATAAAAAACAGGGTTTTGAACAGGGGATCTCAAAGTTACAAAAGGAATTATTACAATCGGATAAAAAGATAATATCAGGAATGTACAATTTATGATGGGAGTGTGATCTAAAAGATGAAGTCATAAAGGAATCAACAATAAAATGGGCGCATGACCTGGGCAAAACAATATACCTAGAAAACTGGGAAAGATTATGGACCCAAGATATAAACTTTACTGCTTGCTACCTGATAAGAGAAAATATGAAAATGTGCCACCGATGGTATGATACACCAGTGAAACTGGCCAAAATATATAAAAATTATTCAAACAAATGTTGGAGATGCAATGCAGAAGTGGGAACCCTAATTCACATGTGGGGGTGTAGGCTAATAAAACAGTTTTGGATAAGGATTCATGAAGAATTGGGGGGGGGGATTAAGATTACAATTCATAAAAAATCAGAAGTATATTTATTGGGACTACTAACAGATGATATTCCTAAAAACCAGAAGAATATATTCCTATATGGAACAGCGGCAGCAAGATTATTGGTTGCAAAAAACTGGAAAACAATAGTACCAGAGCTATCGGAATGGAGATCCAAAATTTGTGAATTCATGAGCATGGCAAAATTAACAGTGACAGTGAGAGGAGGCTTCACTCAGAAGGTCAATAAAGAATGGGAATGTGTTGAAACATATATGGAAAGGGTTGGAAAGGTAAGCTAATTATTAGCAAATATTATTAGTAAAAAATTGTAACTATATCACAAGGTAAATGAATAAAAATAAGAAAAAATAGTTTATTAAAGGAATTTAAATAGAACAGCAGAATAATATAAGAACAACAAGATTGCATATAGGTGAGGGAAGTAGGGAGGAGGGGGAGGGAGAAGAAATATTAAAGATTAAAATAATATAGGATGTAGTATGGGTTTGTTTGCTGATTTGTGTGTTTATTTTTGTCTGTATGCTTTGTTATGGTTATCAATAAAGTTATTTAAAAAAATTAAAAAGGACTATGGAGTACACACCCAGGGCCCAACACTTCTTCACACTACTATGCTACTACATTAGCCAATGACCTTCATGCCATGCCTGGTGGAGGGTCAAGCACGATTTGGCCCCACTGATGAGGTTACCATCTATCAGCATAGCTGTCAACCGTCCCTTATTTGGCGGGAAACTCCCTTATCCCAGCGCCATGTCCCGCTGCTGTCCCTTATTGATGATGTCCCTTAAATTTCCCGGGTTTCAAAGGAAGCAGCTCCTCTCCCGCCCGCCCTGCCGGCCAGGGAGGAGGGAGGCTCCAACTGTGTTGCTTGGCTGCCTGGCCTCCTCTCACCAGCCTCGGCCCCCGGGAGACCCTCCCCGCCGGGACTGGCTGGAGCCTCAGGCCCTTCCGCCGCCATCCTCCTCGCGGCCGCCAAACTGAGCGTCTCTGCCTGGGGCCTCCCCTCTGCCTGTCGTTGCCGCCACCGCTCCCGCTAGGCCGTACTGCGGCTGCGCCGCCAAAGGACCCGGATGAGATGGGCAGCCTGGCGCGCCCTATGAATAGCTGAGGAGCCTTGAGAGGAGAGTGAGGGCAACCATGGAGAAAGCAGTTCAGAGAGAGGAGGAGGAGGCGGAGGCGCGGGCAGGTGTTCCAAGGGCTACAAGGGAAGGACCGCAAGCGCTTCTCCCATAGATTTGTAGTGGTAGACTAGCATAGATGGTCTGATCTGCAGGTTTACTTTGGGCACTATTCCCCCCCCCTTCCTCCCGCCCCGCCTGATGGAACTGAGAGCTGCAGATGGAGCACGAGAGAAAAGATACAGAACTGCAGCAGCATCTTCGTAACTTGGACTTCGTTTTGCGCGAAAAGTGGTTGCTGCTGTAGTTATTTAATCAGCTGGTGTCTTGAGCAGCAACCTCTGGAAATGAAGGGCTAAAAATGGTTCGAATCCCTGCGATGGGCTGAGCTCCCATTGCTGGATCCCAGCTCCTGCCAACCTAGCAGTTTGAGAGCACGTCAAAGTGCAAGTAGATAAATAGGTACCGCTCTGGTGGGAAGGTAAACGGCGTTTCTGTGCGCTGCTCTGGTTTTGCCAGAAGCGGCTTAGTCATGCTGGCCACATGACCTGGAAGCTCCCTCGCCCAATAAAGCGAGATGAGCGCCGAAACCCCAGAGTCGGCCGCGACTGGACCTAATGGTCAGGGGTCCCTTTACCTTTACCTTTAATCAGAAGGACACGGGACACGGGTAGCGCTGTGGGTTAAACCACAGAGCCTAGGACTTGCCAATCAGAAGCTCGGCTGTTCAAATCCCCGTGACGGGGTGAGCTCCCGTTGCTCGGTCCCTGCTCCTGCCCACCTAGCAGTTCCAAAGCACGTCAAAGTGCAAGTAGATAAATAGGTACTGCTCCGGTGGGAAGGTAAACAGCATTTCCGTGTGCTGCTCTGGTTTTGCCAGAAGCGGCTTAGTCATGCTGGCCACATGACCCGGAAGCTGTATGCCAGCTCCCTCGGCCAATAAAGCGAGATGAGCGCCGCAACCCCAGAGTCATCTGCGACTGGACCTAATGGTCAGGGGTCCCTTTACCTTTTTACAGGATGTATAAGGCAGCACAGCCTGTATTAGGTATCCATTCTGGGCACTTGGGATTTGCTACCTCTGCTCCTTTTACCAATAGCCAGACCAGTCTTTCAAATGAGCATAAAAAGGTTTACTTATAGGAATCTTGTGTCCTTCAAAGCAGTGTAAAGGTAAAGGAACACAGTGTTCATGGAAGAACTTGGCTACGAGCGATCGCCAAAGAAGAAGTATGAATAATAAATTATTATCATTATGATTATGATTATGGGGCTTGGAGGCAGACAAAGCCCCCGACCCTGCGCCCTGGCGGGGCACCTGCGCTTGGCGACCTGCGCTTCTGGAGAGAGCCGGCTCCGGCTTCGCGCATTCGGCTCTTGCGGGACATCCTGTGCGGGTTTCTTTCTTTCTCTCTCTCTCTCTCTCTCTTTCTTTCTTTCTTTCCTTTTGTTACGGTAAAATCTGGGTGCGAGGCTGCTCTGCCACCCAGCTCGTCGGACTAAGTCCGCGGGTCCCTGCGGAGGAAGATGAGCTCAGCCGGAGACAGGAGCAAACTGCAGAAGATCCAAGTTTATTGCGCAACAGGTTCAAGGCGAGATTGAACTGCGAGAAAGGGGTGACATGAACTTTTGAAACTTCCCTCCATGTCCCAGAATACAGTGCAAAATACATCCCAGTTACATCATGAATACATGAAGAAGAGGTTGGGTTACACAGATTACATCATGAATATATTAAGAAGAGGTTGGGTTACACAGGATTAACATATGGAGGAGGGAGGGGGGAATATGCAGAGCTGGAGATATGCGCAGATAAGCACATCCTGAGTACCTGATGAGAAGACAATGGTCCATGTATGCATAGTCTGCCACCTGGCATTGCCCGGAGGAAAGGCTTGGCAGAGTGATTTGACAGGATTAGGGTCTTGACACCTTGCTTGAGGGATTATGGAGGACAGGGGAGGTGTCATGGAGTCCTAGAGAAATTGAGCAAATTGGCACGTTGATTTTCTATGAATTTTATAGATTTTAGTCCCTTTTGACATTGACAATTGGAAATAAATGGATATATTGTAGCGAAGAAGGAGGTGAAGAAGACATGCCCCCCCCTCCGTATCACTTTCCTTCTCTCTCTCTCTCTCTCTCTCTCTCTCTCTTTTTTTTTCTTTCTTTCTTTCCTTCTTTCTCTCCCTCCCTCCCTCCCTCCCTCTGGCGGTGCTCCTGCTGGAGAGAGGGAATGCAGAGACGGAGAGGGAGGGCTGAACTTGCTGCGCTCGGCTTTTTGAGGGTTAAAAAACCCTGAGCTGGATTCCTAGAGAGGCCGGGCGAGAAAGGGGGGCGAGGCGAGCAGGTCCTCCAGAGCAGAATCCCCCCCCCCCTTTCCCGGTCACTTCCTCGCTTTTGTCTTTCTCCCTTCCCAGAGCTTCCTCGGTGCCCCTCCTGGGATCCGGTGAGCCTCGTCTCTCTCCCCCCTGTGGGTGCAATGGGGAGAAGGGGGGGCAGGGCTGCATGGGAAGGATGCATGGGGGGCGGATCCTGCTCAGCTCAGGAATAGGGGGACCCCCAAGTCAGGGAGCAGAGAGTCCTGCTGCCCCCAAAGCCAGAGCGAGGACGAGGAGGGCGGGAGGTCTGCAACTCTATCCCTGCCCCTTGCCCCATGCCAGGAAACCCCATTCAGATGGATGAGCCCAGTCTCAATATCGGGGGGGGGGAGGGGCTGGCCTGATCCTGCAGGGCTCCTCTCCCCTTCTGATGCTGAGTTCCTGCAGATGCAAGCGAACCTTCCTTTGCACTTCCCTTACAATCAAAGCTTCCCCCCCCCCCCAGATAGGACAGGGGTCTTATCCAGACTCCTGGCTGGCACATGTGCACCTAGTCAGACCTGCAGGCCCTACATGCTCAGAGGATCTTTTGAGATTGAACAGGAAGCCTTGTCGAGAACCTTGGCTCCCTGCACTGCAAGGGAATGGACTGGGTGGCGCTGGGCATCCCTGACACTGGAGGTGTCTAGACCCTGGTACAAGTTCCTCACTTGTCCATCACGGTTCGACTTCATTCCTTGACTGCAAGCACTGAAAGGCAGGAGCAGCCAGGCTGATTCATCTCACATAAATCCCTTCAGTTGCCTTCACATTTTGCTTGGGAAGTGTCCTTCTGCGTGGGCTAGAGGCTGACTTCCCTTTTTTAAATAAAAGGAAATTCAGTGTCTGGGCTGGGGTGCAATCCAGCCCTTGCTTCTAGCACGACTCATCTAATCTTGCTCAATGAACCTTTTTCTTCTGCTGATCATGACTATGCATTTGCTTTGTAGGACTTCCTAGCACCTCTACTTAGGACAGACAGAACGGGGCAGAAGACCAGGGGGCTTCTTCTGATCTCTTGGGGGATTCCACAGAGCCCAGATGGATGAGCAAGACTCAGCTGGCCCTGAAGTGGGAAGAGACCATGACATCCAAACTGGGAGCAGTGAGGGATTCTGGGAAAACTCTGTGCAGAAGATCCTGGGAGAGGAGGACACTCTCCGCTCAGTTGTGCAGAGCCAGCAGTTCAGGCAGTTCTGCTACCAGGAGGCCAAAGGACCCCGAGAGATTTGCAGCCGACTCTACCACCTTTACTATCAGTGGCTGAAGCCAGAAGGGCACACGAAAGCCGAGATGCTGGACCTGGTGATCTTGGAGCAGTTCCTGGCTGTCCTTCCGCTAGAGATGGAGATCTGGGTGAGGGAATGTGGAGCGGAGACCAGTTCCCAGGCGGTGGCCCTGGCCGAAGGATTCCTCCTGAGTCAGGCAGAGGAGAGGAAGCAGGCAGAGCAGCAGGTGAGAGAGACTGTCCTCTGGATGCTCCCAAGGGGCTCTGAACAGGAGGGACAGTACGATGGTACCTCGGGTTACAGACGCTTCAGGTTACATACACTTTAGGTTACAGACTCCGCTAACCCAGAAATAGTACCTTGGGTTAAGAACTTTGCTTCAGGATGAGAACAGAAATCGCACGGCGGCGGCTGGAGGCCCCATTAGCTAAAGTGGTGCTTCAGGTTAAGAACAGTTTCAGGTTAAGAACGGACCTCCGGAACGAAATACGTTCTTTACCCGAGGTACCACTGTATACCGAAATTCTTTCCTAATGGCTCATCCTTTCAGTTTTTGGAAAGTAAGCAATGAGATCTGATAGCCCTGAAGTGTTTGCTTCTGCCATTCCTATTGTAATCCTTATTTTCATTCCCTGTTTTGAATCCTTGTTGCTCCTTCAGGGAAAGTTTCTGTTAGCAGAAATGCCTGAGGCAGAGAGGACTCCGCTGGACACCAGAGAGAGGCTGCTGGGTAAGGAGGAAGGAGTGTTTTCTCTTTTTAGTCTCATTCTATTAATATGGAAACTGATCTTTGGGTTTTCATCTTTGGGGTGGGTGGAGACAGTTGAGGCCAAGAGGAGGGGCGATGTATTTTTACACAAATAAAATATGAAATGGGTCCAAATGTCCAAATGTACTCATCATGTAAGACTTTTTCTAATGCCCGCCTTAGAGATGCACAGCTGAACTCCGAGAGAAGCATGCAGGGATGTCTTCCCACTTACCTTTGTGTCTTGCAGGTGACAGAAGGATGCCGGCAAGACCTCCTCACCCCTCTTTTCGTGGTGGTGGAGCAGAAGCAGCAACTGTGGAACCAGATCAGGTCAGGGGAAGGAGCCTTGTGGGGAGAGGCCGAGGGGTGGGGCAGCCAGGTGCCTCTGAGCCCAAACAAATCTTTTTCCTCCTCTTGGCTTCTGTCAAAGCTGCCCTTAACAAAGGCTGAAATGTCATTAGTATAATTGATTGCCATTTGTTGCCATTTTCTTCATATGCTTAACAGTGAATGCTAAAACAGGCTTCTAAGCCGTAGGCAGACTATGAAGAGTGGCCAGGATTCACCTATCCAGCTCCATGAGTTGCACAACGGGGCCTCCCTGCTCTCCTTCCCACGCCTCGGCTGCCACACACTCCTTAAACTTAGCTTTAGGACATTGGGAAGATACCCTTCCACGTAACAGCAAGATGAGAGATAGGATCTTTCCATCTGGCAAATGAGAATGTTTGTGCTAACAAAATGACTTGAAGAATACAGCGTGAAGTTCCACCCATTTAAACAATGATTAGTACCCATCATTAAAATTGTTGTTGTTGTTGTTTAGTCGTATCCGACTCTTTGTGACCCCCTGGACCAGAGCACGCCTGGCTCTCCTGTCTTCCACTGCCTCCCGCAGTTTGGTCAGACTCATGTTTGTAGCTTCGAGAACACTGTCCCACCATCTCGTCCTCTGTCGTCCCCTTCTCCTTGTGCCCTCCATCTTTCCCAACATCAGGGTCTTTTCCAGGGAGTCTTCTCTTCTCATGAGGTGGCCAAAGTATTGGAGCCTCAGCTTCAGGATCTGTCCTTCCAGTGAGCACTCAGGGCTGATTTCCTTCAGAATGGATCGGTTTGATCTTCTTGCAGTCCATGGGACTCTCAAGAGTCTCCTCCAGCACCATAATTCAAAAGCATCAATTCTTCGGCGATCAGCCTTCTTTATGGTCCAGCTCTCACTTCCATACATCTATCATTAAAATACATGGGGGGGGGGCGGGAATTTCCACAGAGACGTCAAAATAAGCATTCATACTTAAAATGTGCAGCAAAACAATCCCATCCAAGCAAGACAGCCATTAACAGGCACAAAATACCAGAGCAATGTGTAGTAGATAATATTTACGCTGTCTAAGAGGAGGACATTTCCCTTTTTCTCTTAGGGTCCAGTGTGCTTTGAAGATATTGCTGTTCATTTCGCAGACGAGGAGTGGGCGTTGCTGGATCCTGAACAGAGAGCTCTGCATAAGGAAGTCATGGAGGATAATTGTGGGATCCTGGTCTCTCTCAGTAAGGCTCCCTGTTGGATCACAATACAGTGGTACCTCAGTTTAAGAACAATCCTGTTTACGAACGATTCTGTTTAAGAACTCCGCAAAACCAGAAATAGTGTCCCGGTTTGCAAACTTTACCTTGGCCTAAGAATGGATTCCGAACAGTGGAAGGGCACCGGCGGCAGGAGACCTCATTAGGGAAAGTGCGCCTCAGTTTAAGAACGGACTTCCGGAACAGATTACGTTTGTAAACCGAATACCACTGTATTTGTTTTGAAATTCCATACATATATCTATAGGTGAAATCTGCAATATTTTGATGGAGCTGGTTGCACTCACTGAGTAGAGCTGGCTGTCTTGGAGGAGAAGGGGAGAAAGTGAGGGCTCTGTGACCCCCCAAAAAAACTTCCAGGGGAATCTGGAGCCTCCAAGGACACCCCACAGTGCAGAGGATCTTGAACGGGGCTGAGAAAGCTCCCTGAAGGATTGGGGGGCAGGTTAAGATGGCAAAGGGGAGCTATGCTCCCTCCAGGACAGGAAGCCCCTGATGTGGACCTAACCGAGTTCTAGCACCCCAGAAACAAGAGCTGGCTCTGGGAGGAAGAGCCACAGGACCCCCAAAAGTACCGTATTTTTTTGCTCTGTAAGACTCACTTTTTCCCTCCTAAAAAGTAAGGGAAAGTGTGTGTGCGTCTTATGGAGCGAATGCAGGCTGCACAGCTATCCCAGAAGCCAGAACAGCAAGAGGGATTGCTGCTTTCACTGCGCAGCAGTCCCTCTTGCTGTTCTGGCTTCTGAGATTCAGAATATTTTTTTTCTTTTCCTCCTCCAAAAACTAGGTGCGTCTTGTGGTCTGGTGCGTCTTATAGAGCAAAAAATACGGTACTTAAGAAAAAGGAAGCCCATCTTGAAATGGCACTGTGCTGCCTGGGGTGAAACTGACTGTGGTTACTGTTGAGAAGAAGAGACCTGCTTGTGAGTATTAGGGAGGTGGAAGGGGAGCAAGAAGCAAGAGGGATGAGAAAGAGAGAGGTGAACTTCTAAAGCCCAAACAACTGGGAAATGGAAAGGATAAGAGGTGGAAGAGAGGATTGGAAAGGCGAGAGTGGAGCGGGAGGGGGGATAAAAAGACGGTGGCTGTGTGAGTGACTGTCTCACTGGTGGAAAATAGCGCTAAGGGGAAAAGAAGGGGAACATCTGTGAAGCAGCCCCTTTCTCTCTCTGAAAAAGACCACCCCAGAAAACAAAGATTTCCACTCAAGAAATTTGAGGCTAAAATTGGAGTATAAAACAGACTCCAGACAAGAGTGAATGCATGGGGGAAACGTCTTCGAGGGACTGAATACCGTATTTTTCGCTCTATAAGACGCACCAGACCACAAGACGCACCTAGTTTTTGGAGGAGGAAAACAAGAAAAAAAATATTCTGAATCTCAGAAGCCAGAACATCAAGAGGGATCGCTGCGCAGTGAAAGCAGCAATCCCTCTTGCTGTTCTGGCTTCTGGGATAGCTGCGCAGCCTGCATTCGCTCCATAAGACGCACACACATTTCCCCTTACTTTTATAGGAGGGAAAAAGTGATTATAGAGCAAAAAATACGGTAAATAGTGTGGGTGTTGAAATACAGCAAGACCTGAATGGGCTATTGGACAAATGTGGATTGTGGAACTTGAGTGGACTCTGGCTTGATTCAAACCTTCAAGGGGGCAGGTAACATTAAAACTCTCCTAAGGAAAGAATAAGCCAAGAGAGGAGTAGAGGCTATAAAGGAGACAAGGCTACAGGCAAGGGGAGAGGAGGACAGAGGAAATAAGAAAAGCAGAGGGCTTAAGACTGGAGAAAGAAGGAAGAAAGAAGCTTTTTATCAGTTTTTTTGGCGGGGGGGGGGTTAGTTTATTTTTTCCCTGCTTCCCATTTCTTGATGTCCAGAATTATATTTAAGGGTGGTGTTTTGTTTTGTTTTTGAAAACTGAAAGGAGGGGGAAGGATAGAAGGAGTGGTCTGGGAGAGAGAGACCAGAGGAGTGGGCATATCATGGCTTTTGATAATGTGTCCTGGGTTTTCCTGACAAGACGCCCTAGAATGCCATGGAGAGATGGACTGGAAAGTCCGAGGATAAGAGATAATGATGAAGACGATATGATGCACATATGACTTGTAAAAATGCATAAATAAATAAATGATGGTGCTCAACAGTGCCACCTCCAGCACCTCTGATTCTAACACCCCTACAGCTCCCCTTGAATGAAGGGGTATCTCCTGGCTTGTCTGCAAATATTCTTCCTCCATTCCTATTAAAAAACAATGATGAAGCTGGTCTGAACTGCCCCAGCATTTTTAAATGTAGGCTTTGCAGTGGTAAGAGAAATAATTTCTGTCCGGATTTATGCTTTCGTTTTTGCTTCTGTCTATTTTTGGTTGACCAAAGGGATGACTGACATTGGAGATCGCTTGGAGTCCATGATTGGCCCAAATGAAACACATCCCAGGAAAGAGTCAGGATTTTCAAATCTTAGTTTCCTATAAATATGTCAATTAATTCCAGTCAATAAAGGCAGTGAACCCTGTAGTAGAACCTCACATCTAATTCCCTCAATCTTTTCCCCTATCGCATGCGTTCATTAGCATTGTTCGATAATTTGGGGCTCCATTTCTTCCTGAGGCTCTAATTAGTTTCTCTCTTCATTGTAGGAGGGGATGAATTGGGAAAGAAGGATGAGGGAGACCATGACAAAATCTACACAGTGGAGAATCCGTATCAATATACGGAGTGTGGCGAGAGCTTCAGCCAGAGCTCCCTTTCCACTTCCCATCAAATAAATCCCATTGGGAAGAAACACTATCAGTGCCTGGAATGTGGAAGGGGCTTCACTCGGAACTCGCGTCTCACGGCCCATCGAAGAATTCATACAGGGGAGAAACCCTATCAGTGCTTGGACTGTGGAAAGAGATTCACTACGAGCACAAGCTTCCATCGACATCAGAGAATTCACTATGAGGATGAAGACTATCAGTGCTTGGAATGTGGAAAGAGGTTCAGATGGAAGGTCAGTCTCACTTCCCATCAAATAATTCACACAGGGGAGAATCCATATCAGTGCTTAGAGTGTGGAAAGAGCTTCAGTCAGAGGGCCCATCTCACGACCCATCAAAGAATTCATACAGGAGAGAAGCCGTATCAGTGTTTGGAATGCGGAAAGAACTTTAATACAAGGCCAAACTACTATCGACATAAAAGTATTCATCGTGAGGAGAAACCATATCAGTGCTCGGAATGTGGAAAGGGGTTCAAGTGGAAGAGTAGTCTCGCTTCCCATCAAAGAATTCATACAGGGGAGAATCCCTATCAATGTTTGGAATGTGGAAAGAGCTTCAGGTGGAAGGACAGCTTCACTTGCCATCAAAGAATTCATACAGGTGAAAATCCCTATCAGTGCGTGGAATGTGGAAAGAGTTTCACTGTGAAGAAAAACCTCACTTGCCATCAAAGAATTCATACAGGCAAGAAACCCTATCAGTGCTTTGGGAAGAGCTTCGGTCAGAGCTCCCATCCAATTTCCCATCAAATAACTCGCAGTGTGGAGAAACCATAGCAATTGCTGTGTAGTGATGACTGCTTGGGAGAGACTATGGAAGATAGATTTGAAATTTACTGCATATTATACCTTGAGAGAAAACTATGTGAAAATAATGTATAACACCATATAAACTAGCAAATATGTATAAAAATGTACGTGCCAGAAATGTCAACAGGAGGAAGGGTCATTTTATAATATGTGGTGGTCCTGTGAAAAGGCAAAGTGTTTGGGGGGAATGATATATAATTAACTGAAAAGGATGTTTAATCTGACAGTTCCTTAAAAACCTGAGGTGTTTCTGCTAGGAGCAATGGGGACAGAGGTTGTGAGAAAGCTAACCAATTTATTTATGTAGCATCAACAGCAGCTAGAACTTCATTTGCACAGAGGTGGAAAGAGGAGGGATTACCAACAAAGGAGGAATGGCTTCTGAAACAGGGTTTATGCTGAAATGGTGAAATTAACTGCCAGATTAAGAGGATATAATTAAGTGTTCAAGGAGGATTGGAGACCATTGATGGATTATCTATTAAAGTATCACCCAGACATGAAGCTGTCAGCAGGATTTGAAATATTAATGGATAGGTGAAAGAATTAACAATCCTAGAGTTTAGAAAGTAAAAATTTATGTGCTGTAAAACAACTAATAAAAGGGAGCAAAAAACAAACATCAGGAAAGGGAGGTGGGACGTCAAGAAGAAAATTCATGGGGTAAAAAAATTATATAATGTTGTGAAATACTTTTGGAGATTTAATAAAAAATGCTTTAAAAAAACAACAGTTGTTATTAACCAGTAGTAATTAAATTTTAAGAGACTTAGTATTTGGGTGAGGATTGCAACGGTCTTCTTGTGCTTCGCAACCCCAGCAGAGAAGTCAGTCTCGCCTCTCAGAGCCATGGGGTGCAAGCCTGGTGCCCAATATTTCTTCACACTACGAATCCAGATCTGCATGGTGGAAGTCATTGGCCAAGTGTTGAATGTATCAAAATCACTGAGGTCTAATTGGATCCGTAGCATGTTTGGGATCTGGTGGGCAGGGCTTGTGTGTTCTGCTCTGGAACCAGCGCCTCCAGGGGGTTCCGCTAAGAGGGACCAACAGCCTCTTTGTGCTTCTTGCCCCACACAGACTTGCTTCATGCTGTTGTATTTAGTGTTGACTCATGTTAAGCTACTAGTCTGCTAGGACCTCTTGACCCTTTCCCCATATGCCACTGGCAATCCAGATGTCCCCCATCTGATATGTGTGCATCTGGTTCTTCCTGCCTAAGTGCAGAACCTGACATTGGTCCCTATTGAAGTTCACTTTCTTAGTTTGGGGCCAGTTCTCCAACTGGGAGATGTACTGATTCTTTTACAGGTGGTCCCTTTAGATCAGGCATAGGCAAACTCGGCCCTCCAGATGTTTTGGGACTACAGTTCCTATCATTCTTGACCACTGGTCCTGTTAGCTAGGGATCATGGGAGCTGTAGTCCCAAAACATCTGGAGGGCCGAGTTTGCCTATGCCTGCTTTAGATATTTCAAAAGATGGCTCTTATATCTGTTCTCGGTCTCCTCTTCTCCAGGCTAAACATACCCAGATCCCTCAAGAAGCTTGGTTACCAGACCCTTGAGCATCTTGCTGGCCCTCCTCTGGACATGTTCCAGTTGGTCAATATTCATCTTGTAGTGCCCAGAACTGGACACAGCATTCACTTTCTCTGCTGCTGCATTGGACTGCTGACTCACGTTCAGCTTATGGTCTACAAAGACCCCTGCTACTGGCAAGCCAGGTCTCCCCACCCACCCCCTAGATTTGTAATACAGCAGTTCTTATTTACTGAGGTGTGTTGTGTGCAATTACTGTCCTCGCCCCTCTCTTCCACACTCTTTTCCTCTTCTGCACAATGAAGCCACCCATCTTAGCCCCAGAAGAGGGAGCACAGAAAGGGCAAGGGTGAGTGGGCAGTGTTGAATGGTCTCTTTAAATCTGAAGGTTCGTTATTGTTCCACAAGATGTGTATTTCTTTAAAGGCCAGAGCAAATAACGTGAGCTAGTTTTACAGCTGTGAAGCAGTATAGCAGGTGCTGTGAAGTTGTGGTAATTAAGCTGTTGGGTGTGGCATATAAAGAGCAGCTCTCTCACTACCCTGGTGGGTGGGTCATGATTATTGATATATTGTAATTTAGTATTAAAGGAGTTTTTGTTATTAAAACCTAGCAAAAGTTATTTTTGCGTTCCTTGTAATGTGTGGTCTCCCCAGCACGCCTTCTGTAGCACAACTAATCTGCAAATAGCCAACAGGCAACCCCAGGACTTGCCCCCAGGCACCCAGACTGAGCCAGTTTGGACATCCAGGCCCTGGTTTCACTCCATCAACCCCATGAGACGAAGTGTGCCTGCACCTGAGGAAGAGCGCGAAGGGAGACCAGCTTTCCTTTAGGGCCCCATCCAGTTCTACCATTCTGGGACTTTGTGGCTGAGGAGAAGGGGGCTTGGGAGGAGCAAAGCCACCCTATGGGGCACCTAAGACCCCTTTGCCTGCAAGAGACTGCCTGCCTCTGAACAACCAGGCAGAAATCCAACCGGGGAAGCACCTCCCCTTTCTCTTTACTGTGGCAAAGTAAGCTTTGGGTGCACCACCTACAGTTCTCCCCAGCTGCGCTGGGACGCAATTCTGTGTGCTCCTGATCAGTCAGGAAATACCAAAATCTGCAGCCAAGCATATACAGTAGAAGCAAAAAGCAGCTCTTAATCCTGGTCTTTATTGTTGCTACAAGGGTTTGACTTGAGTGGCTAGTGAAGAAGAAGCCCCAAACAAAGGGTTACTCTCTGTGTTTGAGATTTATGTGGAAGCTTGCACTCCAACATAATAATAATAATAATAATAATAATAATACGCTGCCCATATGGATGACTGCTGGTTTGTGCCTGTGGGGTGCTCTCTCCAGGGAAGTTGTACGTTAAAGAAAATTCTGGGTTGAGAGACTACTCAGCAGCCCAGCTCATCGGGGTACCAGTCCCCTCGGGTCCATGCGGTCAGTAAAAGAAGGAAATTCCAGCCAAGCAATTTGGAGCAAAACAGCAGTCAGTAGACTTAGGTCCTTTCTTGTTGCACAACAGGTTCAACAGCAGCGAGTGAACCCAGAGCATGGGGTGACATTGACTTTTAAAACTTCCCACCATATCCCAGAATAAAGTTCGTACAGCATCATTGCTACATCACTGACGTGTCACCAAAGGGGAGGGACTAGACAGGGGTTACACTAGTTTAACCTTGGCAAACATATCCAGACAAGTCCTTGGTACAAGATTAGCATAAGCAGACATGGCAGGGCAAGACTCAGGTATAAGATGAGCATAGGCAAACACCTCTGAAGTCCCACCACCCAAAGCACAATAGAACTTCCTTTGTATGTCTGGCCCCTTGGCAAGTCTGGTGATGGGATTTGACTTTCCTTGGCCAACAATCAGCTCAGCAATTGTCACCTCTGGGCACTTCCTGGAGTCCCTATTTTACAAGGGCAAAATAGTGTTGGAATGGAGGAAACTGGCAAAGGCGTCGACTTTACAGTATATGATTTTTAAAGCTAGGTAACTTCCCAGAGCTGTCAAGTTGAAAAGATACATTCAGGCATAATATTTGTAACATTTAACATGTGGGGGGGCCCCCTGTAATTTCTGTAACATCCTTATGAGTTTGAGTTTGTAATCTCTGTTTGAGGGTGGCATGCGTATCTGTGGTATGACAAGAAACGTGTACATAAAGGATTTGTAAATCACATCATAAGAAGGTCTCTGATTGAAGTGTGGGAAAGGTATAAAAACCTGTTGGAACAAAAAACTCCATATTGGTTATCACCATTGGAGGCGATGAGTGTGAAGAAAGTCAATATGACTGGGGGATGGGTGACATAGGAGAAGCTAATAAGTAAAAGAGAAGGTAAATGGAAAATGAGACCATTTGAAGAAGTTAAGGAATATGTTAATGATTGGTTGCATTTTTTTCAAATTAATGAAATGTTTTAAAAAGATTTGAATCAAAGGGGTTTTGCCGACAAAGAATCAAAATTTCAGACAGAAATATTGAACAATGACTTTAAAATTCTGGCAAAAATGTATAAGATACTGTTAGAATGGTGTACAAAGGATGAAGAGGTAAAATCAGTTATGATTGATTAGGCCAAAGACTTAGGACATAATATACAAATGGAAGATTGGGGAAAATTATGGAAAGAAGGTTTAAGATTCACTGCATGTACGACTATAAAAGAAAATGTGATGAAAATGATGTATCGATGGTATGTAACACCGGTAAAACTAGCAAAAATGTATGAGATAAGTAATAAATGTTGGAAATGTAAAGAAAAAGAAGGTACATTTTATCATTTTATGTGGTGGGAATGTAAGAAAGTAAAAGCTTTTGGGAAATGATTTATAATGAATTGAAGAAAATGTTGAAATATACATTTGTTAAGAAACCAGAAGCATTTTTATTAGGCATTACAGGTAATGAGATAAATAAGAAAGAAAAGAAGTTATTTTTGTATGCAGTGACAGCAGCAAGAATATTGATGGCCCAGAAATGGAAACAGGAGGAGCTACCTACGTTAGAAGAACGGAGAACAAAAATGATAGACTACGCAGAATTGGACAGAATGACAGGAAGGATCCGAAACCGACAAGATCAAAGATTCACAGAAGATTGGGAAAAATTTATTGAATATTTGCAAAAATTAAGTGATAATCAGATTACGTTTGTAAGTTTTAATGAAGCATTGTGATGGGAAATAAGTACTAAAATGGGATGAAGTTCACAGTAATAATATAAATATCAAAGGAGCCAAAACACCCCCCCACGACCTTGATTGAGCCGGAAAGGCACCCGACCAACCCCCCAACAGCCGAGAGGAGCTCCAAAACCAGGAGGACAGTGGAGCTAACGCAAAGAGGGAGAGAGAAAGGGGAGAGAGGAAGAAAAGAAGAAAAAGCAAAAGGATCCCAAACTTTTCCGCTGCTGACCTCATCTCTGCCGACGGGAAAGAAGAGGAGAGGTAGGGAAGGCAAAAGAGGCTCCGAAAAAACACGTGGCTGAGCCGACCGGAGCTCCAGCGGCAAGGAAAACAGGAAAGCCGCATAACAAAGGAGATCGCAGAAAGGAAGAAACTACCCCCTTCTTTTTTCCTTCTTTTTTTTTTGTTTGTTTTTTTGTTTGTTTGTTTTGTTAATCCTTTTCTTTTTAACCCCTTCCCCCCCTTTTTGCTCTCCTCTCTCTCCACCCTTCCTTATTTTTTCCTATTATCCCACCCTTCCATCCCCAACATTGTTTTCTATCCCCTTTATTTATTAAAATCAACCCCCCCCCCTTTTAGCCTGTTTGTCAGTTTGTTTCTGAGGGGGGAGCCCTTTCTCCCCACCCCCTCTTTTAAAATAAGACTTTTCCCCCATACCATTGCCACAGCTCACCCTCCCTCCCTCACCCCTCTTTTCTTCTCCTTCCTTTCCCCACCCTTCCCCTCCTCCTCTCCTTTTCTCTCCCTCCTCCCTCTCTCCATCCCCCCTTCCCCTAAAGGAAACACACACACACATCCATATCACCATATCATACTTTGCCCCCTCATACTATAGCTAAAACTACTGCTGCAATCTAATACCGCTGATATTACTGTACTATCTCTCCTCCCTATTTCACCTCACTTTTGTCTCTCTCTCTCTCTCTTCTCTTTTACTCCAATCTCCCCTCTCCCCCCACCTCCCCCCTTCTTCTTTCTTTCTTCTTCTTCCCTTTTTCTCCCTCCACCCTTTACATAGAGCCTATTTGTCTGTCTCTGTTTCTGAGCGCACTC